TATCTATCTATCTATCTATCTATCTATCTATCTATCTATCTATCTATCTATCTATCTATCAAAATAGAAAATGTGGTGAAATAATCAAGGAAAGAAGCAACCTGGAATTAAGGAAAAACTTCCTCATAGTGAGGACAATTAACAAGTGGAACAAAAGTTGCCTTCAGAAATTGTGGGTGCTCCATCACTGGAGGTTTTTTACAGGATACTGGACAGCCCATTTTCTGAAATTGTATAGGGTCTCCTGCTGGAGCAGGGGGTTGGACTAGAAGACCTCCCAGGCCCCTCCCAACTCTATTCTGATTAACCAAGAGTTGTAAATGACTTGATGGCATAAACCAATCAATCTATCCTACATTGAAATGTCAGCAGGATCACTTTATCCAATCCAATAATCCATCCTTCACTCATTACAATCTGGTTTATAGGCCAGGTGTGTCAACACAAAATTTCTTTTGGTTCCACATCTCCAGTATCTATTTGTTTGTTTGATGCTGGGGACATCTGTGAATCATAGATAAATATTTTTCTCTGTTACACCCATTTACAGGAAGAAATACAAGTAATTCTCGACTTACAACCACAATTGGACCCAAATATTTTGTTGGTAAGTTTACCCCATTTTACAACTTCTTTTGCCACAGTTGTTAAGTGAATCACTGCAGTCGTTAAATTAGGAACGCGGTTGTTAAGTGAATCTGGCTTCCCCGTTGACTTTGCTTGTCAGAAGGTGGCAAAAGGGGATCACGTGACCCCAAGATGTTGCAATTGTCATAAATACGAGTCAGTTGTCAAACATCCAAATGTAAAGCACATGACCATGGAAATGCTGCTATGGTCATATGTGTGAAAAATGGTCAAAAGTCACTTTTTTCAGTTGTAACTTCGAACAGTCACCAAATGAATTTTTCTTAAGTCCAGGAATATCTGTATGGTCTTTTCCCTGAAAATTGGTACTTTTGCCTTATTCCCATCAAGGAAAATAGGAGGAGGGAGGAGTACTAGGTATGTTTATTGCATTAAATTGTTTATAAAAATAATAAGGATGTTAGAATAGAATAGATTTGGAAGGGAACTTAGAGGTCATTTAGACCAGGGGTTGCCAACCTTTTGGACCTCAGGGACCACCAAACTCATAATTTTAAATCCCACGGACCAGAGACCCTGGGAAAATCCTCCAAAAAGTCTGCAGGAAAATTCCCCACCCCGTTTTCCTACCAATTGATCATTCTTTATTTGGGATGACAGGATACCGTCTCCAGCTCCGTTCTCAGGGGGAGGGAGAGGGTAAGAGACTTTTGGCTTCATGCAAGGAAAGCAGCAGAAACCGCAGAAGTCTTTCTTTCTCTCGCCCAAACTCCATCAGAAATGAATCTTTGCCGGCACAGCCTCTTGGAGCAGGAGGCCTTGCAGGGACCCAAAGACTCATTTCTGGTGGAGTTTGGGGGAGAGAAAGAAAGACTTTTGCTGCTTTCCTTGCGTGCAGCCAAAAGCAGAAGAAGAAAGAAGTGGAAAGAAGAAGCCCAGTGGCCAGGCCAGGTGCATGGGTTGAATGGGGCAAATTCCCCCCCTCCGCCCTTTCCCCCCTCCCCTCACTACCTCGTGCTGTTCGCAATGCAAGTGACGTGAGCCTTGTGTTCCCGTGGGCCACGTGGGTGATGCAGCCTTGTGTTCCCGCGTAGCCTGGATTAATTGCTATGGGGGGGGATATTTCTCTGCGGACCACCAATATTTTCTCATGGACCACCAGTGGTCCCTGGCCAACTGGTTGGCGACCACTGTTCTAGTCCAGCTCCCTGCTCAAGCAGGAGAATGAGAACCTATACCATTTCAGACAAGTGACTGTCTAGTCTCTTCTTAAAAACCTGCAGTGTTGGAGCGTCCACAATTTCTGGAGGCAAGTTGTTCCACTGGTTAATTGTCCTCACTGTTAGGAGTTAATTCCAAGTTGCTTCTCTCCTTGATTCAATTTCATCCATTGTTTCTTGTCTGGCCTTCTGGTGTCAGCCTGTCAAATATTTATAAATTTATTAATTTGTTTAAAAAGGTAAAGCACACCATGAAAACATACACATATATACTTCCACCATATGAAAAATATTCTGAGGGCTTCTGCACATGCCAATTCCTTCGATATGTGGCTCTTGATCAGGGATTCCCAACAATGCTAACTTTAAGACTTGTGGACTTCAGCTCCCAGGCTGGCTGGGGAATTCTGGGAGTTGAAGTCCACTGGATTTAAAATATATTTCTTTATATAAGGCTGTTTTGTCTCTCAGTGTGATGCACAGGGGAGAAATGAGCTCAACTTTCAAACATTCATTAATACGAGACTATAAAAAGTGGCTTATGACTCTCTTACAACCATTGAAAATACCCATGGCCACGTGATCAAAATCCGGAGGCTTAACAACTCGTTCCTATTTACGACCATGGCCGTGTCCCAGGGAGGGGGGGTGTCACATGTTTCCCCCCTTGGGCACACAAGCAAAGTCAACCGTTGAGCCAGATTCACTCAACAACCGCGTTACTCCCAACTGCATGGATTCACTTGGCCAGGCAAGCCGTAAAGCGGAGCAAACTTCACTTAACAACTGTCTTGCTTAGCAACAGACGTTTTGGTTGTAGGTTGAGGACTGCCTGTAAATCAGAACCTCTGGCCTGGTTTGGGCCAGCCTTTCAAGAGACCCTTTCCGACAAGGTATACGCGAGGAGAAGCTGTTTCTCAATCTTTTTTCGCCTGGCTGCAAGAAACAAATCCAGCGACGACAAGCAAATTCCAGCTGCTTCGTCTAACTCTCCAGTGAGTTGCACTGGCAAAGCTGGGCGTAGCCGGTTAAGGGAGGTTTCTACACTAGCAACCACCTTCCTTCTGACATGCCCCCTTTTTTTTTTGCTAAAGATTACACAGCAGCTGGTGCCAGCCTGAAAACTGAAAAGGCAGCTTGCAGAGTGGTTTGGAGGCAGGTGGGCAGGACCACCCAGAAACCCAGAATAATCTGGACTGTAAAGTAAGCTAAATTTCCTAGGTCGTTTTTGAGAAGAAAGGGAACAAAAAACTTAACTTGCTTTGATTCTATTGATGTATTGATCTGTTTTGCTGTGTGGCCAGATCACCAAATTATGCAGGAGAAAATTTCATTCTTTTCTCTCTCTTAAAGTAGCTCAACTCTGGAATTTGAAAAGGCTTCTCTCCCCACCAGAGAGATTGTTTACAATTGGCATTTCCTGTTGAATTTAGGATTGCCCTTTTTTTTTCTCCTGGAGGTATTGTTCCTATTTCAGGCTGGAATTGGGGATGTAAATCAATATTTTTCTCTTCGTAAAGGATTGACGTTCCTTTAACTTTGCAAACTGTCTCTTGCTTGAAAGAGGCAAAATAGCGGGTGAAAAATTGCCTTCCACAGTATTTGCACAGCACAATAAAAGGGAAATTGGGTTGGCTGGTTTTGTGGTTAGCTGTGGGGTATGAAGCGAGCACCACTGACATTTCAGCCTATTGTCAAAGCCAGACAGTTGGATTATCTGAATAACTGGGTATGTTTCATTTAATTCATGATATGCAAACCTAAATTAAAAAATATTCTTTCTTTTCTTCTTTCCTTCTTTCTTTTTTCTGTCTGTCTGTCTGTCTGTCTGTCTTTCTTTATCTATGTCTTTTGGTCTTTCTTTCTTTCTGTCTGTCTTTTTCTTTCCTTTTTCTATCTTTCTTTTTCTATCTTTCCTTCCTTCCTTCCTTCCTTCCTTCCTTCCTTCCTTCCTTCCTTTCTATCTGTGTTTCTTTATCTGTCTGTCTGTCTTTCTTTGTTTGTTTTTCAGTCTTTCTGTCTTTCTTTCTTTTTGTCTTTTTGTCTGTCTGTCTTTGTCTGTTTTTCTTTCTTTCTTTCTTTCTTTCTTTCTTTCTTTCTTTCTTTCTTTCTTTCTTTCTTTCTTTCTTTCTTTCTTTCTTTCTTTCTTTCTTTCTTTCTTTCTTTCTTTCTTTCTAAATATTTTTTCCAAGGTTTGAAATGTGTTGCTTTTCCAACCCAGCATTAGATATGGACACAATCTAGATTTGACTTTTTGCTGGTGCATACAGTAAAAATTGCTCTGCCTTTCACCCACCAAGTAATTATCTCTTGTGCCGTTCATTGTGAATGACTCATTTGACTTGTGGCAGGAGCTCAAATTGAGTTAAAGTTTTTTTTTAACCTCAGGATATAAGGAGAAGAAATGGTTCTTTGGGTCAATTCTTTTTTGTCAATTGATTAACGAGGTATCAGAGCTGAGGTTTCACACAAAACAGTTTAAGTGCAGAACTGCAATTCTAGTTGACCTAGAACCAGATTTTTTGACGTAGCAGTTTTTCACTTACACATCATATTAATACTTGAGAAGCAAAATACGGAAAGGCCTTGATTTTACTTTTGTGATTTTCCTGAATATGTTTTCTCCAACCTAACACCACCACCCCCGCCAGTGGCATTGATATCCCAAAATTAATAAAAGTTGTAAGCAGTGGTTGGGAAATATGGAAGGTATCAGGACAGATGCACTTGATTTAACAGAATAACAGGAGTTGGAAGGGACCCTGGAGGTCTTCTAGTCCAACCCCTTGCTCAGATTATGTACCATTCCAGACAAATGGCTGTCCAATCTCTTCTTAAAAACTTCCAGTATTGGAGCTTCCACAACTTCTGGAGGTAAGGTCCCACTGATTAATTGTTCTGACTATCAGGAAATTTCTCCTTAAATTCCAGGTTGTTTCTCTCCTTGATTAGTTTCCACCTGTTGCTTCTTGTCCTGCCGGTGCTTTGGATAATAGTTTGACTCCCTCTTCTTCATGGCAGCTCCTCAAATATTGGAAGACTGCTATTTAAGCCAGCACTAGCTGAGGTCTACAGCTGCTTTCTGCTAAAAAGAGGAAGTCAGGTGCATTTATTGCTAACAAAGGAAATGCTCTTTTGTTAAAGAAAATATTGACCTAGAGAAAATGGAGCTAATTTTTCCCATCATATCTTTAGGGCAGAGCTTGGCTGTGCAACTCTTGGTAAACTTTGCCTTTTTATCACCACCAAATTCCCTGATGAAATGACAACAATGCCTACCTATTTTTCATCAATGTCATTGCTGGAACAGAAAGGAAGGATTTAGGTAGTCCTCGACTAATCATCAATTTTTTAGTGAATGTTCAAAGTTACAATGGTGCTTAAAAAAAGGATCTTACAACCGATCCTTGCACTTATGACCATTGCCATATCCCTATGGTCATAGAATCAAGATCACATGAAGTGTTAATACCACTTTATAATGCCTTGGTAAGGTGTCATTTGGAATATTTGCATCCAGGTTTGGTCGCCACGATGTAAAAAAGATGTTGAGACTCTAGAAAGAGTGTAGAGAAGAGCAATGGAGGCTAAAACATATGAAGAACAGTTACAGGAATTGGATATATCTAGTTTAATGAAAAGAAGGACTAGGGGAGACATAATAGCAATCTTCCAATATTTGAGGGGCTGCCACAGAGAAGAAGGGAGCCAAGCTATTCTCCAAAGCACTGAAGGCAGGACAAGAAGCAACAGATGGAAACTAATCAAAGAGAGATCCAAACTAGAAATAAGGAGAAACTTAGTAATAGTGAGAACAATTAACCACTGGAACAACTTACCTTTGGAAGTGGTGGGTTCTCCAACACTGGAAGTTTTTAAGAAGAGCCTGGACAGCCATTTGTCTCACATAGTATAAAGACTCTTGCCTCGCGCAGCAGGTTGGACTAGAAGACCTTCAAAGTCCCTTCCAACTCCATTATCCTGTATTCTGTCACACGGTCAAAATTAATGCTTGGCAGCTGGCATGTATTTCTAATGGTTCCAGTGTCCTGAAATCACACGATCGCCATTGGTGACTTTTCTAGCTGTCTCACTTAATGATCGCAGCAAAAAGAAAAAAGATCATAACATCGAGCACGACCCACTTAACAACTGCCTCGCTTAGGGTGGAAGTTCGAGTCCCAATTGTGGTCATAAGTCAAGGACCACTTGTAGTCGATGGAAATATTTTACGAAGAATGGTGGTAGCCCAGAGACTTCCAAGGAGTGGAGGTCATCATCGGAATATTTGAAGAGATCTTCAACCACGATTCACTTTGTCTGACTCATATCAGGATCCAGGGTTTGTTTTTGGCTGGTTGGATATTTTTGCATACCTTAAGGG